AAACTCGTAGAAGCACATAAAAAAAAATTAAAAAAATTGGAAAAATTGGAAAAATTGGAAAAAATTTTAAAAAAATAAAAAAATAGAAAAAAATTGGAAAAAATTGGAAAAAATTGAAAAAATTGTGAAAAATTAGAAAAATTAGGAAAAAAATTTGAAAAAATTGGAAAAAATTTGAAAAAATTGGAAAAAAATTGAAAAAATTAGCAAAAATTAGAAAAAAATATAAAAAATAGAAAAACACCAGAAAACAATTGGACAAATTAGAAGAAACTGGAAAATGAAATTACAAAAGATGGGAAAAAATCAGAAACAGCGCACCGAATACGGTACAAAAATATTGGAAATAATTAGAAATAATTAGAACACAAACCTAACAGAAACTAGGAATTAGAAGAAAATTGGATAAAAATCAAAAGAAAATTTGAAGCCAGAATTCAATGGAAATCAAGGTTTTGCAGCTGGGCCCAAGAAAATTGGAAGGAAAAAGGGCTGCGTTCACCTCGCTGCGCAAAGGCCGCGTACATTTTGGAGCCACGACGGATTGGAAGCATTACAACTGTGAGCAAGTCTCAGGGGCCTCAAAGCCCAGGCAAGCACCATGCAGTTGCAATGTCGGTGCTTTCCGTATCTGCGTCGTCGTCGTCGTTGTCGTCGTCGTAGTCGTAGTCGTGGTGATTATCGCTGTGGCAGGAAGCGCAACATGGGGAGACGGGTAATGCTGAGTTTGCTTCTGATATTCTTCTGATTTCTGTTTGGGGCTGGTTTTGATTCCGATTTCTGCTTCTAATTATTTTTGATTTATTACCGATTCTGAGCATGTTGACTTTACAAGGGAATGGAGGTCATAAGCATAGACGACTTCTGCCCAGCATGAAGCGATGAATGTTTGTTTGCGGAAACTCAGGATTTGTTTACACTATCTTCCAACGTCAACCAGACGATCTCAATTGCCTTCTGTTTGCTTGCTCCGAGCACCTCTTCAATGCAACTCCGTCCACAATTAAATATGTCATCTTCACACCGGCTTGTGATTCTTTCCTTCGGTGTTTGCTCCTCGGGAAGTGCCGCCAAAAGGCAATGTCGAAAGCGGCGTCAACAGCTCAACATAGCTGATGCCGTCGGTGATACTCATGAACAAGGACAACATTGCGTCCAGAACTGTTCCAAAGCGAGCCTGGCAAAGTCGACATGCAAGTTGGGAGCTGCGGTCACACACAGCAGCCTTAAAATCCTTAGATTTTTTATCTCAAGGTCTTCAGCAAAACAGCATCCACTCAAAGGCCTGCAACACTTCCCTGCCCTGCTCTGTCACACTTGGTGCGCCGGGCTCCTGGTCCTGGAGAAAATCATTCCTGAAGCAGCGATTGCTATGAGCTGCTGTGCTTGAACAAACATGTGACCACTCCAACAGTTTCTAGCCGAGGTGCACTGCTTGAGAGAAGATGACGCCGAAGACATAAACGATGAGAATCAACCTGTGGAGTGACAACACACACTCGGCCGATGCTGGAATTCACAAATGTGCTGGGAAGGTTTCAGCTTGCACATCTGGGCAGACGCGAAATCTTAAGAATAACGCCACAAAGATTTGCTGCGCACACACACACACACACGCACACAGACTGATAAGGTAACCGAACCACGACGCCGTGACTGAACAGCTTGGCCACACTTGATTGCACATGTTGTACATGCGCTAAAACATGCATGTTGGAGAAGAGGGAAAACTGTGGCAGCTCGCCGCATCAGCAAGAGCCTGGCTGTTTATAATGGTGTTGAGTGAGCCATTTGCAAGTACATGCGGTTCATCAGATCACACTTACACCTTCCAGCATGGCTTCACTGCACACCGTTTGTTTGAAAGCTGCTGGCCCCCGCGATAATTGCCGAATTTTTGTTTAAACCTTGCGTCAAACTACTTTGCCACCCACCCACGCACCCACCCCGACAGAAAAACGGCAGCACGCCCCCCAAAAAAGAGTGCGCTTGTAGGAGATTCACGATGGAAGGAGCTGCTCGGTCGAAAATCATACCTAAAAAAACCTGCGTGAACCGTACCAAACAAAAGCCCAGACCCCACACAATAGACTTCATAACGAAGCCCAGAAGAAGTGAAAGCAAACAAAATTCAAAAGGATGAACTTAAGGACCGCGAGAACCTATGAGCGGGGCCTGACTCCTTGTAGTCGAGTCGAAAGACACAAGGATCAGAAAAATGAAAATAGCTGCAGAACTGCCTCAGCGAGACCCCTGACAAAGCAAGCGAAGGACAAGGCCACTGCCCCTTCGATTCCCCAAAACCAAACAACTAAACCCCAGAATCCTAAATGATCCGCTTCGCTCATCCACACACGTACACACACACACACGCAAATTCTCGGGCGGTGAGAGGTCAAGGCTACGGGTCGTTAGATATGGTGTCAAAGGCTTGCCGACCAATAATAACCAACAATAAGTCCAAGCAGCAGCACCAGTGCCCAGAACAATGATTTGAGGGTATTCACAATACTTGAGACCAGCATCCGCAGAGCCATCACAAACCGGAATATTCGCATCAATCGCACCGCCTTGACAATACCTTGCGTGTTTTGGAGCAGATTTATCACCCAGGCCCAACAAATTATAAAAGCAATCTCGAAAAGATGTTTGGGGTAGGGGCAGAAGGGTTCGCCGCTCAAGGCGCGTGTGATGCGAATGATTCGGAATGCTCTGAGCCCGGACATGTCCGCCACTGACTCGGCACCTTCCTGGGAAGCCATCCAGACATCGACGACCTTGGGGGAACTACAGAATTTCTGTCACAGGTTCGCAAGGAGCAAAGCCAGAAAGCCAGGCCACGATATCCCAGACTGCTGTGAAAACGATAAAGGTGTCAAGCCAACCCCACATCCAGTCCTCTCCACAATAAAGAGCCCATCCTTGGCTGCAGACTGCCCTGACACCATCATGATGCTCATGCTCCATGTGCCTGCGATGAGGGCGAGGTGGTCCATCAGTGAATGGCGTATGTACAATGACCTATGAACGACTGCATTGCAATAATCTCTAGGAGACTGCATTGCAATAATGACTCTCTAGGGGCTCATCAAAAAGACGGCATGTCCCACCCTACGGATTGATCCTAAGCGAGGATGTCCTGTCGCAGATACTGGGGACACCAATTATTCTGGGCCACGCTCCACATATAGCCGCAAGAAGAGCTCAACGGCAAAGATGGCTGAGAATACGTAGTTTCCCGTGTAGAAAAAAGCCTCAGCTCTTGGGAAAGCGAATTCTCTCAGGCACGGTCGGATGCAGACAGGATGCAGGTTGAACCCCGTCGTTCCAGATCGTGTACTGCACGTCGAAACCGATAAACGCCGTGTTCGCGACCACCTTTGACCAGACTACACTTGGGCGCCTGAATCGGGACGCTCTCCGGTAGCCAAGCGGCCACCAAAGTGAAGAAGGCATCAAAGTAGGTGCTGTGCACAATGGCTGCGATGGTCCTAGCCGGAGCTTGAAACTGGATTCACGCAGGTTGGAAAGGAAACTGCCGACAAACATGTAGGAGTCCATGCCCTGCCTGTAAACACCGCGGCATGAACGGCTCAAGATACTGTCCGCGGTTCCAGTGTCTGCCGGGTTCTCTGCCCGCATGGAGGCAAACCTTGGCAAGGGCGCTGAGCGCAGGAACCGAGCATCGTGAGTTCAGCAGGCGACTTGAGCGTTCTGAGAGAGGACACCACGAGCCCCAAAAAAGGGCACCCCGAATAGCGTTCTAGAACTCCCCCTGAGCCAGCGGACCTTCGTCGGATCGTCGTGCCATGGACTTCTGATGCCCCGGCTTTGACTTCCATGTCTTGCCTTGGGTCTCTTCAAGTTCTGCACAGCACGAAATACCGATTGCACTGATCTGTTCAACGAAACAAGTAAATTGATGAAGCCTTCGACTTATCGACATTGACAGTATGGCTCTGAAGCTCGTGCACTCTCGTCCCTCCCTTCCGAAGATCTCTCCACCTCAGTCGAGGCACTCAGTGTAGCTCACGAAAAGTGTCCTGGGCTTTTGGTACTACTCGATCTCGACTTAAATTTACAACTTGAAGGCATCGTCCGGACACTACTCCGGCGAACAAGAGAACATGCCAAGCCGGCGGATGAAAGCCCGAAGCCAGGCAAACAAACAACCTATAAGTTTGCAGACATGCCTGGCATCGGCTTTGTCCGAAATCGCATAGCAACTACCCAATCATCTGTTACTAGAGCATTGCTGGCAATCCGGCCGCGTTTGTCCTTGGGCCCGTGTCTGCAAAATCGTGCATGTGATCCGCCCTAAAGCGAATAGTCACTCTCTGTTAAGCTACCGCACTCATTCCCGAATTGTCCTCAGTCTCCATAAAACAATTGGGACTTCAACTCTTGATCACCTTTGCTCCCGACAACACCTGGTGTGGGAGTGTAATCGACATGGCTGAGGGCTCTCGGATCTGCGTGCTGGCGTCCCAACAAACGCGAGGGTGGCAAGGTCACTGCACACTTTCTTCCTTCCTGACATCCTGTGACATCCTGCCATGTTTATGCCAAAGTCTCGGAGTGAAGGAGCCGCCGCTCGGGCGTCGTGGCCTGCAACGGGACAGAGAGAACTGTGCTGTGCCGCTGTTCATGGCTTCCCCGTGAAAGTTATCTCTATTTCCTAAAAGCACTGCGAATGCTCGCTTGCAGATTACACGTCCCAAAGAGTCTGCAGCCGGCTCTCTCACTTTGCCTGTGGAGCCGAGAGCTTCGGGAACTCGTCCTGAGGTGAGGCTCTCACATCAAACGGACCACCACGTGTCAGTGTCCACCGTGCTTGTTCTAGTTATTCAAGCACAAACAGGACGTGCTGAAGCCTCCGGCAGGGCAGGCCCCCCGAAACACATCGCTAAGCGAGCTTGGGATGCGGTACGCGAGTTAAGCCTGCTAAGCGAGACAATTGCACAACTCTCCCTTGCTCCGAGCTTCGGAGACTCGGCAGAATCGGCATGGGGTGTGGTGCGCTTTGGCGTGGACGACGTGCTCAGACTCAGGCCCCCCGGGCGCTTGACCAAGAGCTCGTTCAAGAGCAATTCTTGCCGACCTGCAAAAGCCGCAGGGAATAGGTGTTCCAAAGAGCGGCAGTCGGCAGTCACACTCTTTGTGCCCTAAACTTTGCCGAATTTCGCCGAGCATCGGAGCTTCTGCATCACTTGGTCATGGTTTCTTGCAACGATGCTGGGCAGATCGTCAGGAGAGTCGCACTCTGGAGGTGAAAACTGGTCCTGACCACAATCGACAAAAACGGCTTCGACCTGTGGGCCCTATACAATGTCCTGGTGGAGCCGGGATCTTCGTAGCTCACTTACACAAGCAAGGTGAGCCTGCTCCGGCCGCACCATGGTCCAAAATCCCACTGAACGTCTGTTGGCACTCACTCTCCCGTGGCCGTCACAGCGGCGTGAAACTTTTCGAGGCCAGATCCCCCGAGCCCCAGGTTTTCGGCTCTGCATTCAATTGGCACGCCGACTTGAAGAGTTGGAGCCGTGCACAGGTTAGAAACAAGCTTCAGAGTTCACTTTCTGGATTGCAGCCTTACAAAATTCCAGGGGCCCAAGTCCTGAAGCTCACGGAGCGGCAAGCCCGGCACAGCCTGAGGAGACTCGGCCCACTGCGACTTTCGGCCAGCTCTGGACCCCCAGTCCCACCCTTCAGCCCAGGTGCACACCGGCTTCTGTGCAACCTCAGCATCATAAGAAAAGGCGCTCAAATGACAAACATACCTGCGCTTCCCTCATGCCGCATGGCAGTAAAGCTGTTTGTGCTCCTGAATCTCTGACTGTTCTCTCGCTGGGAGCCAAGATGCGCTTCGGGCTTCTCGTCATCGGCGAGACACATCTCGTCGGACATTTTGAGTACAACCGATAGGCAGCTTCTCGCTCCGAATCCGACGACGTTTAGCACTGGGCTGCACACTGGTGATGGATGGTGAGTACAATTATGTTTGTTCGTGTTGCTATTGCATCACCCGGACCGCGGCAGCAGAGACCACTGAGCCAAATGGAAGCACGCCAGATCATCCACATTCGCAGTTGAGTGAACAACTACAGGTTCAGCATGACCTGTTTGTGTCTACGGTGTACACACATTCAGCATGACCCCACACACACACACACCATCCACTGCTTAGACAGGTTCTGGCAGCCAGTCAGTCAACTAGTCCATGGGATAGCGACGTAGTTCGTTGGTGAGCTACCTGAATAATTGGCTAGCTGGCCGGCCCATTAGCCCTGTTCACTAGAGGTTGAGTTTTTTTCTGTGAATCTTGTTCGTCATTTGGTCGATTAGGTTTCTTGCAATGTCGTTCTTAATTCGCAATTTTGCTAGTTCGGTCGTGTGTTAGCTCGATAGTTAGGTGCTTGCTCAACAACAGTTCTATAGCCACTTATCCATTGAGGCAACTAACAAGCCTCTTTTTGAGGTCTGTGTGTTCCTTGTAGGTTTTTGCGTTGTGGTTTCGAGTTGTTGAGCCCCATGCGCTTGCTGATGGCTTGTTGATGACTTTTCCGGTGCGTTTTGCGTTCTATGCATGTGGCAAGTACACCAGGAGTAGATGGTCTGGCCGACATAATCTGTCTAGTTATCTATCTAGCTATCTATGTCTATATCCCTATCTATCTCTGTCTCTGTCTGTCTGTCTGCCTGTCTCTCTGCCTCTCTGGATGTCTGTCAAGGGCTTCTGGATTCGGGACTGCTTCACTTCGGGAAGGAAAGAAAAGGAAATCAAACGAATCTCTGCCTCTCCTCAAGTCTGAGCTGGCCTTGGCCGTCCCTTCAGCGCGCCGGCAAAGTCATGTCGGTCTGCAGGGCGCGGCGGCCACAGACAGACACACAGCCAGTTTTTTTGTTCGACGAGCTTCCTCTACTCGTCCCTTCCCTGCCTTACACGCTGGGCTTTGGCCCTTCTCGCAGAAGGACGCGACGCCCGGCCCGGTGATTCGAGCAAAAGCACCAGAAGCCGAAATTCGATCGTGATGCCAAACCGTCTGCTACAGTCTGTTAACTCCGTGAATAAATAGACAGTCCTCGGATCTGCTTTCAAGGATCCTTGCGGTGAGTGATGCCCGAAGCTGAAGAGAAAGCTAGTTCAGGTTGCTGCCCATGTGCAAGTGATGCGTGCCGTGCACGTACATGCATACGCGCATGCATGCGTGCATGCATGCGTGCATGCATGCGTGCATGCATGCGTGCATGCGTGCATGCATGCATACATCTGTACATCCGTACATGCATACACGCATGCAGACTTGGTGGCTGACTGCCATACTTACCTACTTGTCAACATGCTGGCCCGGCCAGCTCTGGCCAGTGCAGTATCATCTCTGTACCTCCAGCCCTCCCACCTGAAGTTGCACTACCTCTCTGCCAGTCCACTATGGCCTCCCTGACCCTGAAGTGGGAGGAGGAAATCTCGTGCAAAAAACACACTGCCAAGGCTGAGGCAAGATGACGGCAGGACTCATCACCCAGGCCATTCCAGGCGAGTCCCAGGTACTGCAGGTCAAGCACAGCAAGGCAAACCACTCTCGACTGAGGAAGACTCAAGCATGAATCCAAGTCTGCGAAACACAGTTGAAGCAGTCTAGAGGCAGGTGTTGGCATGAAGCTGTCTTTAGAGGAAAAGCCACCAACAAGGAGTCACTAGCAATCAGGAAGGTTCGAGAACCATGCCGGAACTGTGTGGTGGAGAGTGATGAACTTCCCTCGGCTGATCCCTGATTTATCCCGATGGATGTTCCAAGAATCGGAACTCGGGAACCCTAAGATCTACTCTGGCAACAACACCGACCAGCCCGATGTGAAGGCTGGGTCGAGACCCTACAGCTGCCAGCTTTAACAGCGTTGCGAAGGCCGCCGCGCCGGGCCTGGCCTTCAGGTCCCACTGCGTCTCCAACATCTTGATCAAGGGCACGATGCCTCCAGCTTTACCGGGGATGGCACAGACACCGCGCCGAAAGAGATGGGTGAGATGGGTGAGATTGATCCGAGAATAGTAATATTGAATCCGAGGAGAAGTCGTTCGCCCGCGAAAACGTGGATCCTTTTCGAGGGAACTCGACCCGGCCTTTTGAGCCGATGTAGTTGCCACAGAGCCTCAGGGCTGGCTCAGAGATGCAGAGGGGGGAAGGGTAGTATGCTACGTCCTTCCGCTATGATGTCCTTCCCTGGTCCATCCTTGCCCGGAAGATACCATACTAGAGTTTCGAGAGTTACCAGAGATCCTTCCGAAAGGAATGATCGGACTACAGGTTCATATCGGGCTTGTACCCGCTGTTCTGGGGCTTCAGGCTTCGTCATTCCTGAGGTTTCCGGTGTCTGCTTCTGCGGGTCATCTAGTGACACGGAACATACTCGTGCACATAGTGCACTCCTATATTGGCCTCAATACAAGCCTCAACATCTCCACGAGGTTGACGAAATTTGCCCAGCTCCGGTTATCTCCGGTTGAAGGCGCACCAGAGTGTTGATCTTGGCTCCGTGCTCCAGAATCTGCAAGGACTGCAGGCACTTGATAAATGGCGCCTCGGGCGCAGCATGGCGCAGCTACCCAGAGAGGACTGTTGGGTCTACACCAGTGCTTGCTGTGATAGAATGGCGTTGCACGACACAGAGCGGCTTGGGGGGTCGGCCAGATGGACAGTGCCGGTCTGTCCCAGGCAGGCATGGCGGAAGTTGAGCTCCTGAGAAAAGCACGGGAGGCCGAAGACCCTTCTGAGCAACGCACTTAGCCACATGTCCGTCCTCGCTCCACGGGTCCAGCCTCGCCAGGCGCTTTGCTAGCTCCGGCGGCAAAGGCTCCTCTTCACATTGGAGTCGCCAGGCGCTTCTACCGTTGGCCCTTGATCTTCCTGAACTGGAAAACTGCGACTGCGATCAAGAGCCATCAGGAAACTCTGGGACAAGCAGAGGGCAAGGTCATGCCATGTCTTCGTTGTCTCCTGGGACTCTCGTAGAGCTCTCTCGAAGAGCTATGTAAGCATGAAGTGTATCAGAATGCCTGGACTGGAGATGCGTGGTTTAGGAATGTCCTTCTCGGGCCTTCGCTTTGGCACCAAGTCTCCACGTCCGGTCCTTCGAATCATTTGCTTCACCAATCGGCTTTGGACTTAAAAGTCAAAAGCATGCGACGGATTTCTGGCCCAGGACATTGAAGCTCCCAAAATCGCTGGAGGCCCCACCTGCCCGAAAGCCCGAAACCAAGCCGCTCTGACGCTGCAACGACAGTCCGGACAGGCAGTGAATCCAGGGGTAACATTTGTTCTTGCTGTCTCCGCCAACATGAGCGTGGAGTTTGGATTCCACGGCTGAGAGATAACATATTTACTCCGCCTTCAGCTCACCTCCTTTTCAGCTTTTGCGGATAACCTCGCCTACCTCAGGAACCATGATTCTGATTTCTGGTTGTTTCAGGCTATCGCCATTTGAAGTTTCCATCTTCAACAGGAACTGGCAGGATGATTGAACGTTGGTGTTGCCTTTTGCATTGCTACCCATCTTACAATCTTATCGTTTCTCCTTCGCCACGCACTCACTGCACGCGGCCATGGTTCAGCACAAAGAGACAACCAACAAGCAAGATGGTGACGGTGACGGTGTTCTTGAAGAAGAAGAAGAAGAACATGATGATGATGATGATGATGATGATGATGATGATGACGGTGATGATGACGGTGATGATGATGATGGTGATGATGATGATAGTGATGATGATGGTGATGATGATGGTGATGATGATGGTGATGATGATGGTGATCGTGATGATGATGATGATGATGGTGATGATGATGATGATGATGATGATGATGAAGCTGAAGATGGAGATGACAATGAAGATGAAGATGCAAACGATGATGATGATGATGAAGCTGAAGATGGAAATGACAGTGAAGATGAAGATGCAAATGATGATGAGGAGGAGGAGGAGGAGGACGTTGACGATGAT